AACCGTGCTTAACTTTTAAGTTCTATAACCCATTTCATGAGGTCAGAGATCCAAGGTCACAGGGAAGTGAGTGTGAGACTCACTTTGCCCCACCCAGAGCAGGTCCCAGTGGGACACCCAATAACTGTCCCTCAGACAGTGCCACTGGCGGTGGAAGTGTAATGATAAAGAACAGACTGCTGTCCTCTGTGCAGTACAAGGACACAAATGTCACCTAGCTCCTATCCTGGTCTCATTCCTCTTCTCTGCCCGTGACTCCCTGAGTGTTAGACATTCATGTGGGACCGGAATGAAAGCTATTCTCATCTCTCTCTAGCTAAGGCTGAGCAGAAAGAGACTCTTTAAGGCATATTTCTGGTAGTTTTATTTGTATGGTTTTCATCTTCAAAAACTGCCTAGATGAAGTTACAGATACAAGACAGAAAGCTCATGTAAGAGGCTGAGTTAGAGATAGTCTTTTCATAGAAGAGGAACTGAAGAGCCACGCCTGGGTTGTGGCTTCACATAGAGAGATACCAGCTGGTAGGTAAAAAGCCAGGGGTTCTTTTTTTTATTATTATTGTGAAAATACTGTACACAGGGGTTACAATTCATGGGAAAGATAATGAGTACATTTCTTATCAAGCATTGTAGCCTCCTCCTTTGTTTCCCCTTCCCATCTCTTCCCATCCTCCCCCCCCACCCCCGTACCAAAGTTGTGAAGTTCGTTTTCGACATAACGACTTGTACATCTCATTGTTGCAATGGGTCCACCTGTATCCCTATTTAAACGACTTGTTTTTCCCCTTCCCCTCCACAAATTATACCGATATCAAATACAGTGAAAGCAGGGGTTATACTGTGGGGGAGGCATACAAAGCAACAAAGAAATAATCTTATAAATGTGTTAGAAACAATTGCATGAAAGAAAAAAAAAAAAACATTTGGCCAGGGGTTCTAAGCAGCACATTTACCCTAGTGCTGGCAAAGGATATAGACAGATGATCGCAATCTCAGAAAGCAGCCCTAACAGTGCAGAAACCAAAGAAATGGAGAAGGTGAAAAGAATGCCAGTCCCTTGAAAACACTGGGTCCTGGAGTCAAGAGCTCAGCCTATGGGCATAGCATACCCTCACTTCTCTCTCTAGGACTGTGGCTCCAGGCACCCCACTGTCACAATATTCACTGTGCCTGCTGACAGCTGGAAGACACCCAGTGTCTTTCGCTAGCACATTGATGGCATTCCTGTCCTCAATCAGAGATTGATGTCTTTTTGGTTTATTTTTTTTTGGAGGGGGCGGGGCACAGTGGTTTAGAGCTTCTGAGATATTCTCTGTAACTGATCCAGACCGGCCTGTTTTGGAAATTTGGTGAATATTTTCAACACTAGAGTGTTCTAGAAGATTGTAGACAGTAGTTGGCTCTTTAGTCATTCTATATCATCCTTGTAACAAATGATATGCTGGGGCTGGGGCTGGTCAGGGAAGGTAGTTTAGTGGTAGAGCATTTGCCCAGCATGTGCAAGACTCTGGATTCCATCCTTGGCACCAGAAAAAGGTCAAATAAAATAATAAAAACAGACGTATTGTAGTTCCTCTGCTTAGGCTTGTATTAACAGGAAGTGAAGGCTTGCATGGTGGCGGGGCTCTGGCATGCAATGCTTGCCTCTGGTGGAAATCTCTGCAGGTTCTATCCTGGGAACTGCCACGGCTATGCCGGTGTCACTTGGTAGCATCCCAGCAACACTAAGAGAGCTACTCTCAAAACCCCTCTTGAACAAACTCAGGGGAATGACATGCTTGCCTGTGCCACAAAGTTGGTAAGTAATTGACCATTCTCTGTAAGCACCTCATGTTCATCCATAAATTGACTCAGATGAAAATCTGAACAAGCAGGATTCATTTCCTGCTGCCACTTACTGCCAGCTGTGCCTTAAGTGCAGTGTCCCTGACCAGCTCATGTACTGAAGTTTGACCCAGTGTGGCTATGCTTAGATGATATGACCTTGAAAACTTTGGGCTTAGTGGGAGCTGATTAGGTCATTGGAGATGCACCCCCAGAAATAATTAGTGTGGCTTTCCAAAGTCCCTGCTGGTTCCCACTAAGGTGAATTTTAGTATTTTCAGCTCAGGATGACATTGAATATATTCCTTGTCTACAATTCAGGAACTTCTGTTTAGGGCTGTCATCCTCAGCTGAAAATACTAAAAATGAAATGTTTTACCAGATCAGGTTGAAATGAACTTTCTCTATTGTTTTCAAATACAAAACTTCCATATGAAACAGCTTAACAATAACCTTTCATCTATGGTATTTGATTTTGGTATATACATTTATCTAATTTGGGATGACCCATGGCAACAATGATACTCAAAAGACTCTACGTTGGAAACGAACTTTACAACTTCTGTGGGGGGAGGTGTGGGTGAGTTAGGGGAGGGAAGGGATAGTAGGAGAAAAACAAAGGAGGGGGTAACAATGTTCAACAAGAAATTTACCTCACTCATGTAACTGTAACCCCTCTGTACACATCTTTACAATAAAATAAAAATTTAAAAAACATTTTTCAAAAGTGAATTTTTAAAAAGCAAGCCTGGTCCCTGAATCTGCCTGGGTTTCTCTCTTGACATGTAATCTCTCTACCTCCCACAGTGTCCAGGAGGCCTACACCAAAGGCACAACTTATGGGGCCACTGGCTCTTTTGGCCTCTAAAACTGAGCTAAATTAATCTCTTTTAAAAATACATTACTCAGGTACTTTTTCATAGCAACAGACAATGGGCTAACATAATATCCCCCTGGGATTATGTGCACTGTCTTATTTATGTCTCAGAGCATCGGCCTCAGATTCATAGTTAAAATTTGGATTCAAGAAGTCCTAGGTTCAAATCCAGGCAATTCAACTTTCTAGTCAGTTACCCTATGTCTACTGTATACCATCCCAGCCCCTCCATTTGTCTTCTAGAGTTTCTTTAGGAATAAAATGGGAAACATATTGGCAAGACTTAGAACTGCACCTGGCTCACAGAGTGTTCCCAAAAAAGAGATAGCAATAGAATTATTGTATTTCAACCACCATGTAGCTTATTTTACATATGGGGGAACCAAGGCTAAGGTTACATAAGGAACTTGTTCATTCAAAATCAGCCTCCTCCTAATGACATGGGCACCCAGCTCCATCTGGATCCAAACCTGTTGCCATAGCCTGTGCTTCTCATGGATCAAAGCCATGCAGCTGCGTATGGTCCTGGATTCCTCAGGGAGATGTCTCTTCACTTGAGGGGCTCTTTCACACCATGCTGAACATGATTGATCATCCAGACCCATTTCCAGGCCCAGCTCCCAGCTACCAGGTGTTTTTTTTAACCTAAGTGAAGGAGAACAGTGTTCATTTTGCTCTTTACTTTGGTTCTGCGTCCAGCAAACTATAATGATGATGATGATGATGTTGCATGTGGCTTTGCTTTGAAGGACCAATGTCTTCTTGTTGTTCTGTCCTTTTGGGATCCCTGTTCAAAGTGTTCAGTGCAAAGCTACAGGCTGTGACTTCACTGAGCAAAAGCTTCACCCCTGATAAAAGCAAGAAAAGCAACATGATTAAGTGAGCATCTCTTCCATCCAAACCAGAGACCAGAGAAAGCACAGTCAGATTGGTACCTGCTGCCTGCTGCCTCCTATTCCCTACTATTTTATGAACTGATCCTTTGAATCTTTTTTCTTTTGCCAGGACAGTATTTTTGAAAATATGCTTTCATGTTGAAAATACCCGATAGCTTAGCACACAGTTTTTCTGTCTCTTTTAATTGGCTTGTTAACTTCTTTCTCTTTATTCATTGTAGATCTTCTATCCTTCTGCTCTCTCTGAAAATCTGCTGCATATTTATACTGTTATCAACCTTCTCTGCTTTTTCTGTAACTGAATTTTCAAGCAGGTCAGAGCCATGCCCTTTCTCCATGAAAATTTAAGTAGAGCATAGCTTTTAATTACCCTTTCCCCATCCCTGACAGGAAGGTTTCCAAACATAAAATAATAATCAAAAAGCTCCAAAAACCTTGGAGCTAGACTCAACAAAGATAAGAACATCATGTTTCCCCTGGTCCTTACTTATTTCTTTTGAACATCTCGAGTCTTTTTCAAACCTCGGGCATTGTTTGCCATGCCAGGTTCATGTCCAGCAGCTTCTGCCTAGGTTTTTATGTAAAGAGCTGTGGCCTGATAGTACTTGAATCTGATACTCTAACAGCTCTTTCTCTTAAGGAAAGGAAGACACCAGCCAGGGAAGAAGTTTAACAAGGAAATTTTTCAGTAAGGAATTCTGAGCAAAAGACACCACTGCACAAGATCCCAATCCTCCCTCAGTTGCTACTATGGAAGGAAGCAACTCTCAGTAAGGTTTTGTCCTGTGCTGGGGACAAGCATTTCTGCCTGGTTGGCATATATAGGAGATTTGCCATAACAGCCTTATGTCATTTCATGCAGAAGAATATCTAAATAAAATGCTTATCGGGTTTCCAAACTATGTCCCAAAGGTGCATGCCATACATAGATCAGGACCAGGAGCTTATGTCAAGATACCCAAGGCAGAAAGACTAACTATAGGAGTGCAGTAAGCCCTGCCCTAAAGGGATCTCGTGCAGGTCAAGACACAGACTCTCCAAAACTCTCCTATTGAGATCCAGGCTCCACTGTAGCCCTAGGTTTACATGAAGCCATCAGGTACAATGTCATTATCCTACAGGACGAAGACCATCATGTTGGCTGTGGGCTCCTCTGATACAGCTGGTAAAGTTTTGAGGTGCTTCAGGCCCCATGATGGGGAGTGTTGGTTGTCTTGTGCACTCGTGGTCTTTTTGAGACATTACTGCCAGGTCTTGAGAAAAGAAGGAAAATAAGCCTTCCATTTTAACTTTGTTGTCTTTCTCTGGTCAGCTTTACAGAATTATATTTAAAAGTTCCAAGTAGAATGGTACTTCTCCCAGAAGCATTAATCCACTCTGTTTCAACTTCTTTGTTTCTTCAGAAAGAGAAGAAGAGCGGGCTGCTGAAACTTCTAGCTGGGGCATCTACCAAGAAGAAGACACGTTCTCCGCCATCCATCTCTCCAACCCATGACCCCCAGGTAGTCATGGATTCTTCACTCCAGGGTGCCACGGGCCCTGAAGTGTCCCCATTGTCCATCCATGGCAGAGCCGGCTCCTGTCCTATAGAGAGCGAGATGCAGGGGGCCATGGGGTTGGAGCCTCTACACAGAAAAGCAGGCTCCTTGGATCTAAACTTCTCCTCATCTCCTTCCCGACAAGCACCTCTTTGCATGGCTGCCATCCGCCCTGAGCCCAAGCCATTACCCAGAGAGAGGTAAGAGGGGGGCGGGGGTCTCATAGTCTTATAACACCTGAGGCTGGAGTCCCATTGGGGAAACAGGGAAGGTCAAGTTTTCCAAACAACACTTGGCTCCCAAGGGTGGCTGGTACACATCAGGTGCAATGTGTTTGGGACCTAGAGCACATGTCATTATTTCAGTCCACCTGGCTCCTGGGTTAGGGATTATAGGGAATTCATCAGGAAATTTGTCAGAACCAGTATGGTTCTGTGTGCAAAACTCAAGAAATTAGAATGAGGACTCTGTGCTCCCTAACTCTGAGGACCCTGGACAGGACTCCAGGGCTAAGTCCCCTATAGGCTTATGTGCTTTACCCAAAGAACAGTGCTTCTTCAGCTTCAGTCCACTGTGATATATTAGAATTATAAAATGTTGGGTTGAGAGAGATGGAGGAGAATGATGAACGGGGTGATACCAGTGAAGATGCATTATACTTATAAACGGATTTGTTGAATGACAACCCCTTTGTGTAATTACTTAAAAATAATAAAAATATATTTTTGAAAAAAAATTATAAAATAGCTCCCCAAAACTGGCTTCAAGAGTATATACTTTATTAGGTTGAACTATACAAAATTGCCAATATTCAACCATTTTTGCCTAAACATGACTTGAGCACCAGTGGCTCACGCCTGTAATTCTAGCTACTCCACAGGGCTGAGAGCTTGAGGACTGTGGCTCAAAGCTAGACCAGGTAGGAAAGTCTGTGAGACTTTTATCTCCAATTAACCACCAAAAAACTGGAAGTGGAGAGGTGGTTCAAATGATAGAGCAAAAGCCCTTGAGCAAAACAGCTCATGAACAGAGTCCAGGCTCTGAGGTCAAGCCCCAGTACTGCACAATAGTTTTAACAATAATAATAATGATAATGATAATAATAATGATAATAAAACATGAACAATCTCCTAAGAAAGCATTCCTGGAATGTCTACTGGAGTCCACTCTGCCGTTCAGCCATACTGGCTCCTGCAACCTGAGTACCTGCTAAGCTCTGAGACCATGGCTCCGGGTGCCCTGTGGTTGTGAGGGGTGGGAAACTTCAAGCTTCCGTCTAGATCATCTGCACTGGAGGCTGAGGCAGCAACACATATTTTCTGTCAGAGGCACAATAGTAAATATTGCTATGTTGTAGGATCTAGGAGGCCTGTGACAACTCATGTGCTCTGCCTGTGTAGAGGGAAAGCTGCCATGGACCAAATGTACACAAAGGTGTGGTGTTCCAGGAAGCTCTATGGAGAAACACTGAAATGTAGGTTTCCCATAACTTCCTTATGCTGTGAAATCTTTGAATTTCTTTTTCAACCATATCAAAGTATAACAATATACCTAGCTCTTTGACCACACACAACCCACAGTTCTAGATGATGCCACCCAGGGTGGAGTTGAGATCTGGGGACACAAGGAGAACCAATCTCTTCAGGACTCTAGAGGAAGAGCAGATATTGTCTTCTGATGAACAACTAAGTTCAAATCTGCCTTTGTAACCACAGTTAAGAGTTATGATGGCTCACATATATATACTGAGTGTCCTATGCAAGTTGATACTGAGGATAGTCTGTAGTAGGGATGAATTTTTGCCATTAACACCAGGATGGCCAGGCTCTGTACAAAGCATCTCCTGAATGTATGTGTGCTATCCTGTTGAATTGTATGTGTGTATATAGGTATATGTATACGCATATATATAGTATACAGAAGTTGTATACAGAACTTGCATACAGAAGTCCCCATTCAACAAAACTATTTATGAATACAATGTATCTTGGTCAATGCCATTCCTTTTATCTCTCCCCCATTCCACCCAACCCACCCCTTATCTTAATTTTCTTAATTTTGTAGGGTATAAATTGAATTGTATGACTGAATTCTTCCCTGACCCCTTTTCTCATTCATCTACCTCTATCCCCTTGGTTTTACCACTCTTTTTGACTACCAGTTTCCTAGTGTTTATTTTGTTAGACTCTGAGTTAGTCTTTCTATGAAATTACACTATTTGAGTTCTCCCCTGAATCTACTATATTTCAATTAATATTTCTATGTATACTTGAATACCACCCCAAAGTGTTTACTTATATTTTTATAAGTTAATTCCAGGCTCCACATTTGAGAGGAAACATACATCCTTTCTTTCTCTGGGCCTGACTTAACATGATATTGCATCATTTGCAACAACAACAACAAAAAAGAAAGGGCCTATTGAATCATTTTTAAGAAGAAAAAGAAAGAATTCTCCTTTTTTGTTGGATGCAGGACTTGAACTGGGGGGCCTGGGCACTATCTCTGAACTCGAGCCTAGAACTCTACTACTTTGAGCTTCAGCACTACTTCCAGTTTTCTGGTGGTTAATTGGAGATAAGAGTCTCATGGATTTTCCTGCATGTTCTGGCTTTGAACCTCAATCCTTAGACCTCAGCCTCCTGAGTAGATAGGATTGCAGGTGTGAGCCACCAGCACCCAGCTGAAAGATACCTAAAATGACTAAGAAGCTTGCTTTCAATTTGCTTACAGAACATGAACAAGAGAAGGCTTTCTGACCACAGAGCCTAAGCTCTCAGCCCTTCCAGATGTCAGCATGTGATTCCAAGCTCCTCATGTGCTCACATTTTCCCCCAGTCATGGTATCATCCATGTGGGTCCCTTTCTCTCATGAATTCACAGACCCTCAGATGAATGGTATCATACTGAACACCACTTAACACTCAAACACACACTGGACATTCATGCATTGTGCAGAAATATTACACACACCTATCCACATACATCACGCAAATTCCTAATACAAAGACATAGAATCTAAACACGCATTCAGATATGCTATATACACCAGACAAAACACAGACATATATCATACCAACACATAGCTGTACCCCATACCCAGACACATCAAATACTACATACACAACCACACCTACTTATAAATACATGCCACGTTCCCAAACACATAAACAAATACCATACCTACACATAACATACATACACAAATACATGTACTGTTCACATATTCCCTTTTTTCTTCCTATCCCTCTACCTTTCTTCCTCTATCTTGGACCAATACCACCTGCCTGTGATTCTAAACATGGGCCCTGGTCCCTTGAAGTCACAGAGTTGATCTTATTACTCCTGAGAGTGAACAGACTTATCCCCTAGGACTCCTGCCTTTCAAGAATCCTAGTTTTATCTTTAAGACATGACTTCTAATCTCCACAATAAGAGATTATGAAATTTCTGTTCTTAAGAAAAACCTCCTTGGAGGCTCTGATTAACTGTAGCAAATTTAGAGATCACTGCCATTCTCAGAATCTTCATTCTAATCAGGAGGTTATTGTACTCAGATGCTCCAGGCACCTTCTTTGTCCTCAAGAGCTCATTAAAGAAAAGCATTTGAAAAATACAGCCCAAGATCAAACTACTGATGTTTCCCAGAAACTGCCTCTCCTTAGCCTCCACAGCCACAAGCCACCTAGTAACTTGGAAGCCTAGCAGTTTGGTGTTAAGGATGTGGCTGTGGAAATATTGGCTTCTTGGACCAGGACCAGAAGACCCTTGAGCTCTGACCCTCCAGGCTGTAACGCTCATTTTACAGCAGTATAAACATGAGCAGAAAAGTAGCACAGGACAGTCAGTGCGGAAGTGTCTACCCACAGAGCTAAGGATAAAGGGGCTGAGCACAGACAATGTCCTACCTGCTCCTATGGGCAGATTCCCAAGGTCTCAACACCTTCTCTCCAGAGGATCTGGGAGACAACAGAGGCTGCGCTCTCCTCAGTACTCTCAGAGAAAGAAAGCTGAAGTTGAAAGTGGTACAGAGGGCAACTCCATGGCAGCCACTCCAGAAAGCATACCTGGCAATTCCCCCATACCTGTATGGCTAGCCCTGCAATCTCAGTAGTCCTGCACCTTCAACTGTGGGCCTGTCCAAGCCATTTGTTTGTCATTAATTTAACACAGACCGATGCTGATTTACATGGTTCAACTTATGACATTGTTACTTTATGATGGTCCTGTTTTTTACATTCAGTGCAGTTTCTTTGTAAATTACTTGATAATTCAATACTGCAATTCATTACTTTATTATAGTTTGGGTCTATTGTTAGATGAGTTTGCCCCTACTTTGAGTGGCCAGAAGTATTGTCTTCTGTACGTTAGATATATTAAGAACACTTTCAGCTTAACCATACTTTCATGCTGTTCCTGATGCTTGAACTTAGGGACTGGGCACTGTCCCTGAGCTTCTTTTACCCAAGGTTAGTGGTCTTGCACCACAGATCCACTTCTGGCTTGTTTGGTTTAGTGGAGATATCCTACTGTGGGTTGGCTTTGAACAGCAATCCTCAGATCTCAGCCTTCTGAGTAGCTGGGATTTCAGGCAGGAGTTATCAGTGCAAAGATAAAACTTAACATAAGTTCATTTTATAATGGGTTTATCAGGAGTAACCCTATTGTAAGCTGTGGTGCATCTGTACACAAGCTGATAGCATAGTTCAGTGTCCAGGATGTAGATGTAGTCTGGTCAGCAGGTTGATGCTTTGCCAGCATCACTACATGCCACCACTCAGGGGCCCACTTCTCCTAAGCCACATAGAAGCAAATGTTCTCTAAAGCCTACTGGTTAGATATATGGCCACCTGTAATCCCTGTTGTCACCGAGGGGATGATAGCCCTATTTATACTTGTCAGGGTAGATTATCTCACACATTTATGAAGCCATGATCATGACATGGGAGTGAGTAGCTGTTATCCTCAGCTGCTCACCAGGCCCTTTGTAACAGAGAGCATCATTTACGTTCATGCAGTGGGATGAAGAGCTCAGAAGCTGGGAATGATCTGGACAGAAACATTAAACACTTGTCTGAGATAAATTCAGCTCACATCCATCTAAGCTCATTAAATCATGGAATAGCTCAGAAGCGCCAAATTACTTCTTTCTAATGAATTACATTTTTTTAAAGATGCTTGTTTGTTTCACATCTGGCAGTTGAGGTAAAAGCCCAAACTAGAGTTCAGAGTCTGAGGAATCATCTCACACTCTGCCTTTCTTTCCCTGGGGAAGAGTGAGAAGGAGCAGGTAGTCAGAAAGGAAGTATGGGATGGCAGGGAGCCACAGGTAGGAGGGGCGCTGGTCCTACTGGACCCACACAGACTCCATGCAGTGCTGAAGGGGCAGGGACGATGCAGTTTGTATGTGGGCTGTCTGACTTTGTAAACTGCTGTCTGTATCCCAGCAGTTCCTCTCTCCCCCCACAGTGAGGGGCCAGCAGACAGTCTTTGCAGGCCTGGAGGAGGCATTCTGTTTTCTCTCCTTTACTCCCTTGAGAGACAGATTCTGGCTCACTGTTAGACAGTGATGGAAAGTGGTCTAGCCCTTCTGCACCGTTCAGCGATTCCAAGGCACTTGGCCTTAGGATGCTGGGCCTAGCTGAGCTTACTCAGGGATAGAAATACTCCATGCCCACCAAATCAACCTCAGAGTTCCCACCTTCATCTTTTCATTTGCCTGAAGCATGGGAGGCTTGTATGCCATAATCTGTGAACTCCCCGTGGCTAGGCCTAAGAAGACTCCTTAGCTCAGCCTATTCTGAGGGGACAACAGAGCTGACCTCTTCATTCAGCTGCCACTGTAGGCTGAAAATTTCAGAAAACAAGACTTTATAATCAGATCCTAGGCTTTTGAGGCTCAGCTCAGGTGCCATCAGTCAGGCTCTTCACTTCATCTTCAGATGGAGTTTCTCCAGGCCAGAAGGCCTGGAAGGGCAGGGTATGACCCCTTGATCTAGGTAACTCTAGCACTCAGAGGCCCTTTGGAGACACAAGAGGAATTGAGTCCAGACTCATGAGGAAGGCATAGTGCATGATAGATGGAGCTACAGCTACAGACCTGAGCTCAGACACTCTACTCTGTAAGTGGGAGCAGGCTGTAGATGAACTGTCCTTCCCAGCCAGCTCCCTATGCACCCTTCAACCTCAAAAAGAGGTGACTTCACTTAATATAATTGCTGCCAAGTCTTCCCATATCCTTATGAATGGTACAATATCATTCTTTCTAGTAGATGAGTAAAATTCCATTATATATATATATATATATATATATATATATAATATATATATATATATATATATATATATATATATATATATCACATTTTCCTGATCCATTCGTGCATCGAGAGGCATCTGTGCTGATTCCATAACTTAGCTATGGCGAATAGTGCTCCAATGAACATAATGAGTATGGTTGTTTGATGATTTTACTGTAGCCTTGTTTGTGCTCTATTGGATAATTGCCCAAGAGTGGGATTGCTGGGTCATTGGGTAGTTCCATGTTTAGTCTTTTGAGGAACCCCCAGGCTTCTTTCCAGAGTGGTTGAACAAGCTTACATACCCACCATCAGTATTAGAACTCCCCTTTGGCCACATCCTTGCCAGCGTTTGTTGTTGTTTGTTCTCTTGATGATAGCCAGACCCAGAGAAACAGTTTGCAAGGTTTCCCTTATTTGTGGTAGATAGAATGTGCCTATAAATCAGTAAGTAAACATGTTGGGTGGTATGCAAGTGGTCATAGATGAATTACTGAAGTATAATAGACTCCATGGAGAGCTCAAATAGTATAATATTTTAGAAACATTAGGTCAAAACCCAACAAAATCAACACCAGGAAATAGGTACATCCAAGAAGGGGAAGGGGAGAGGCAGACAAATGAAGGGGAGAAGCAGGTAGTATGCACTCAAGAATTCATCGTATATACTACAAAATGAACAGAAGTAAGGAAAGAGGTGGGTTGAAGGGAGGTGAGAATGTTGAAGCAGGTAACACTGATTGATATGCATTATATTCATAAACTGCTTTGCTACAGGGCAGCTGCTTTGTACAACTATTTAAAGATAATTCAAAAAATTAAAAAGAGCTGACTAACAGCTGAGGAGCAAGATGACCCATAGCTTCTGTGTACTGGTCATCCCTGAGTGAGAGACAAGTGGGTGGTAAAGTTGGCAGGAGAAGCAAAGAAAGGCAGAAGTGTGAAAGGAGACTGGAACATACAAGTTCCTTCTTAACTTGGGCTTCTGTGAGAGAGATGGGAGGCTCTGACGCATTCTGAGCAGAAAGGGCCAGAATCTACCAGTGCCTTTCCATCATACCTGTGGGACCGAGAGGGATGAGAAGAGGCCCACGCATGCAGAGATCACAGACACTGTTTAGGATGAGTCCTGAGTTTCTGCCCCTCAGGAAGCCCCAGTGTCCTTGGAAACATCACAGGAGACTAAGTATTGCCCAGATGACTGATAAGGCAATCTCAACAAAATGAGTATCTGGAGTAACTTTCAGTATGGAGTTTTTCAAGAAGAGAGAACAGCTATACTCTGCTCTCCACAAAACTTACCTCCTAAATTTAGGATCTAGAGACCCTCCCCAGGATGGTAGTTTCTTCTCAGCAATTACTGTGCAACTATCACCCACCCTGAAGGCTAAGAGTATGGGGCATCCAGATGCTCTCTGGAACTCTCTTGGGTATCAGAGGGCAAGCTGAATTTCCTGTTGGGCTAGACGTAGAGTACCAGTAGGTACTCTTTTACTCTACCCTCAGGGAGTACAACTGCTCTAGAACCCTGTTCCTCATCCTTGGCCAGATTGTAATCAGAACTACAATACATGGGGAAATTTAATTCCCTACAATACAGTAGTGTCCAGTGAGCACCGAACTCTTTATACATGAGTATTTGGGCATTTGCAAGGGAACAGGGAAGAGTTGAGGAAAGCAAGCAGAGCTCAGGACAATAGGGCATGAAAATTCTCAAAAAGTGTGAAGAAGTTGTTGGTGTATGTGAAGCCACTAAGATTGGTCATTGGAGTGACTTTGGGCCCTGCTCTTAGTTGTAACTAGAACAAAGCACAGATTCTCCTGGAGCCCAGAGGGGAGCTAGGACCATCTTGGGAAATTCAACCTTGGGATACTCCAAGCTATGTGAATGTTTATTCGAGTCTGTATAGACAAAAGTAAAGCCTAGTAGCGAAGAGGGCTCAGACAGGCCTGCTGGAGTATATCAGAAATACTTCTGTCAAGACCGTAGTTAAGTGCTTTTTAAGACCTGTTCTTGTGCAGCACCTGAAGCGCTGGATCCTTGACAAGGTGCCAAACAGACAGCCACACCCTGGTCTTAGATGCCAGTAGCAGTTGCCCAAATCCACAGGTTTGCACCTAGAGCTGCACCTAGTTAATCTAGCCCACAGCAATCTCTCCAGGTGATCATCAGGCACAGCCACACAAGGAGGCTCAGGCTCCATTTTATGGAGCTGGTCTGAAAACTAAGGCTTGAAGGGTACATCTAGTGCCTAAGTCTTAGAGAAATGACATGTGGGAAAACCCTTGTTAGCACTTTTGATCTTGATCTCTGACAGTTCAGGTGCCGAGCTGCCTCTGATCATCTTTTGATTTTTGGAGCTCAATTTGAAAGGATGACCATTTGAGCAAAACAATCTTCAAAGCATCTTCCCCCGACCACATGGGCCCCTAACCACCTGAGAGGTAGTAACATAGGAGAGGGGCTGATTTTTTCTGATACAGAGAATGACTCTCAGGTGAGTATATAAGCCCAGGGTCCCAAAGCCAGCACTGAATCCGTATCTCAGGATGTGTTGGAAGGAAGATGTGGGGTGGAGAGGCCTGCATGGCCCTGGGTTCTAAATAACAAACATTCCAGCTACATTTTAGATATAGAAGCTGAGGAGCCGTTTCTTCTTAATTAAAAGAAAAATAACAAGTGAAAAAGTATTTGGGCAAAACACAGATGTATAAAAATTGTATAAAGTGAGGGAGGTAGCCCGAAATTTCAAAAGCTTAATGGAGGAAAGAGAGGAGGAGGAAAATTTTGGAGAGCCCAGAGCACAGTCTAGTGGGTGGGCAGGCTGTGGGACAAGAGGAGTCACAGACCATCCCCGGATCTAGGGCATTTGTGGCCTGAATTGTGCACCACTGTGTCATTTGTCTCCCTCAGGTACCGGGTAGTGGTCTCCTACCCACCCCAAAGTGAAGCGGAGATCGAGCTGAAGGAAGGCGACATTGTCTTCGTGCACAAGAAGCGAGAGGATGGTTGGTACAAAGGGACTCTACAGCGGAACGGCCGCACAGGCCTCTTCCCTGGCAGCTTTGTGGAGAGCTTTTGAAGCCTGGTGCTCTTGTTCGGCACTGCTGGCTTCACGGAGGGTCTCCAGGAAACTGCCCCAGCTTGTTCCAGCTGTCAGTCTGTCCATCACTCCCTCTTGTGGACCACAGAAGACCTTGAAGTTGAAGAGCACATAGCTGCCTCCTGATCTTTCTGGGACTTGCTCTACCCATCATGCCCTAGGCCCCAGGTCATTTCAGGGGCACCTGGCAGGAACACCTGGACTGGGGTAGGGACCAAGGGTGGGTACACCTTCACCTGAAACCCCATCTAAGAGCACACCAGGGTGTACTTTAAGGCCATGCCAAGCCCTAGTAGGAAGGTGCCCATACGGGCATATGTGCTGCTGTGTCCTCTGTCACCCAAGCAGTGCTTGCCACCTACACAAGATGAGGAGCTGCAGAGGCTGCAGGCCTGGGCGGTGGGCTGGGGCCAAGAGCACTGGGAGGTGTCTTCCCTGGCTGCCCTGGATGTCAGCCCTCTATATACCTCAGTCACCTGCTGCCTCTCCCCTCAGCTAGGGCGTTCACCAGTCCCTGAAAGGCCAGCCTCATGGCTCCTATTGGGTAGCCAAGCAGAATCCTTGTGGCTTTGTCTCCTACCAGGATTATACTCAACACAGTTGTGTTCACTGTTGTCCCTCTACATCGCTTCCTTCTTACAACATCTTTTTAATGTACAGCTGTTCGACTTTATATATTTCTAGTAGGTCAGACATTGCCTATTTTTCATACATCTGGTGCTGCCTTTTTGTAAAACTAGTAATGACTTGGGTGAGCTTGAAAGTAAAAAAAAAAAAAAAAAGTCTGAGGTAACATCAAAGGCAGGATTTTTATATTTACTATTCAAATTCTGAAGCCCGCTGTGAAGCCAGTCCTCAGCATCGGCGCTGGCCACTGCTCTCTGTGAAGTGAGCGTTAGTGCTCTGCTGAGGTGATAGGAGGGAGTTGGAAAGAGCCAACTTCTTTAAACCCTTACCCAAACCCCAGGCTCTGTCTAGACAGGGATAATTATTACTCAAGAACTGGAAACATGTCGAGGAGGACTGCCACAAATGTCCTTTCATGTGGCAGTACAGAGAACACATAGGCCAACCCCAGCCCGGGAAGGTAGAAGCTTCCATTTATTGTTTCAGGAAGAATCACTGCAGTCTCAAAATCCGATTTCTTACTGTCAAAATGAGCAAGGTTTTTGTTTGTTTTGTTTGACCACAGCTACAATCACCATCTTGCAAAGATTTTTTTTTTCTCCTTTTTAAAAAATAAATAACTGTTCCCATTGTCCGGCTGTGCTAAACTTCCTACGCTGGATACCTGAAGCACAGAGAGAATGCAAGTCTGATGTGTGGCTGAAGACTTGCAGAGACAACTCTAAGGATCTGGGGATGCTGGAAAGGGAGAGAGGCAGAAGGGGTGACCTCTGTCCTGGGACAATCCCCTGAGTGTGTTGATGGATCTGTGTTCATTAATGTGATGAGTCTCTTCCCAAGCAAACTGCCCGGAGAAACTCTGTTAGGAGACAACTTTGTCCTTAAGATGTGTACCTTAGAGACACATTTTTCTCATCTCCGAAGTTGCAATCTATATCCTCTTTACATACATTTTTATACAAACTACTCAGACTTCTTAAGTTATACTGAATTAATTAGCCTCCAGGAGCAGAAGGTGTCACTGGTTTTCAGAGATGCCACACATTTTAGAAATGCAATCTCTTGCCTGGCATGAAGCCTTTGAAATGGGGAACACTCATTTTCAGAGTTCCTATTTGGGGGTATAACTTGGCTATTTACAACTGCCACATGGGGCAGTCACATAGAAGGTATGTGGGGCTTTTTCCTCTCCCACCAGATAATAGACTTAATGGACATGAGAAATGAGTCCTGAATCAGAGAGAAATTCTGGCTTAAACACAGGGAACTCTATGTGCTGGGTTAGTAACAACCAGAATGTATCTACTCACCATCATTGCCAAATCACTCGATTACCCATGCACAAAAATCCTGTGCGTGTTTAAATTCATGCTGTCACCCAACAGGTGCACAGATTAACACCGTAGGTGAGACATATTTTCCAGCAGAACCAGAACTAACTCAAGTTTCTGTAAAATAAAAAATGCATTTTTCCTTAAAGGAGGGCAGCTACAAAGCAACTACATAGACTAACTCGGGCCTACTTTCCTCATCCAGCCACTACTCCCGTGGTGCTCATAGTGGAAACGTGTGGTAAGCGAGTGACAGCTGGCCCGGAAGAACACCCCAATTCACCATAGAGGGCTGGGCCAAGTATCACTGTGTCTTTAGAAGTCATTAACCGGCCCCTCCCCTGGCAGAAATCAGAGGTGGACACTGGAACCATCTTGAGAAGAATAATGATGTTGCAGGCCCAGCCAGCACTAGGGTCTGCTCTCAGGCTGGGCGGTACTCCTGGAGTGATGCCAGGCAGGGGAAATAACCACACGACCCACCCCCATGAATCATCTGAGTGCTTTCCAAACATTCAGGCCCTTCCGCCTTCATGACCACAGAATCCCCGAGCAAGAGCAGCAATAGAAGCCCTTGTCCTTTGGGGCATCGTGCCTCCAAGTACACATGTGATGTGGCTAGTGAGATGAAACCCATACTTCATCCTGGCCCATGCTGGGAACTTCCTAGGTGTCAGTGGCATGTGATGGCTAAGGTGTTATGTTGGTGTTTTGTTTTGTTTTGTTGAGGAGCATTATAGTATAGTCATGCCCAACTGAGTGAGGTCAGCAGATACCAAGGAGACAGGGCCACAAGGGTCAGGGAAGCACATGGGATGGCAGGCAGCAGGGTATAAATGCCATGCGGAACACCCCAAAACCAGTTCAGCCAACTGACTGGGAATTCTTTGTACTTTGCACAGTATACACACACACATGCGCGCACATGCATACACACAGAGATACACACACATACAATGTTTCTGTTATACACCGATGTCAGTGTGTGATTTTGGAAGAATTGACTGTGGTGACAAATTATGATGCCTGTGTTTCCAAGTCTTTCAATAAAAATGAACGTGGAGAGGCAATGTGTCTGGGTGGTGGACACAGAGGAGTTTGACAGAGGCTGCAAGCCTGAGCAAAAAAAGCCCTGGCTGACTGGCTGGGGACAGATGTGGGAGGGCACTACCTGGGTTTCCACAGGCCACTCGAAGTCTTACACCTGCGACCTCATGCTCTTGCATGGGGCTGGGCCAGCAAGAAGACCAGGGAGTTGTGACCAGTAGTGACATCAACCTGAACCACGCCCAGCAACACTGGATATCTTCCTGCTCCATAGTAAGAAGCAACAAGAGAAGCCAGGCTGGCCAGCTGGCGGGTCTCTAGTTCCTCTCTACTGGCCCATTTGCCTGGAAATGTAGAGAAACTATCCACAGATGGCCTATCATCCTTTCTTGAACCTACTGAAGTCCTTGTCAACCAGAAGTGCCTGATAGTGGATTCTGGAAAGAAATATTGCTGGCTATACTCTTGTCTTTCTGACCGTCCAGTGCTCCAGAAACAGGAAAGTGTTCTCTGGAGCCCGGGATAAGGGTATAAGAGAGATCTCCAGAAAGGTGGATGTTCCATATCTGTCAGCATACTGACAGCTGGCGGAGGACTGGACCGCCAGACTAAAGCATGTCAGAATCAATGTGTTCCTGAATGCTCCCCTTGCCCTCTTGGCTGAGACACACACCCCCATTCAGATACTGGAATTGAAAGAATGCTTAGAAAGAGCTGTTTGCCTTTCTGTACAAATGAAAAGAACTTGTATAGCTTGGACAGTGGCAGGGGAGATGTACAATGAGGAAACATACTATGTCTACATAGAAGATACCTTCACCCCAACTCACTAGATGAGCAAATGAGAGAAGAGAGATCCAGGTCACATAGCCATTTCATACATCCCCAGGTGAACCTTCGACCCCCAAACACTGGGTGCTACACGTGTGTCTCTGTAGAACCATAGCCATGCACTGCATAAATGTGTCCATCAGGAGCAAAATGCATAAATGACAACAATCCCAAAGGTTATAACAGAGATGAAAATTTCCTGTGACATACTCCTACCACAATACATTCTGTGTGTGCGTATGAGAGAGAGAAAGGAAGAGAGAGAAAGAGAGAGAGAGAGGCATAAACAGAACTACTACAGTGCCAGTCACAGGATAGTTATGCTAATTTGTCCAGCACAAATTAACTGTGTTCAAGCTAACATAATGTTATCAGATATTACATGTGCCACTAGCTTACGTGTTACTGACCTATATTTCTTAGTGTTATTTTAGAGAGTACTTCTATTTATGGAACAAGTTGACTGTAAAGCATTCTCAGTTGCAGCCCTGCTATGCTGATAGTGATTCACACATGTTTATCCTGTCTCCTGTGTGTGAGGGCGCATGTATGCTGGTTCTGGGATTTGAACTCAGTGCATTGCAAGAGTGCAATTAGCCTTTTTCTTTTTTCTTTTATTTTCCAGATGTGGGGCTTGAACTCAGGGCCTGGACACTGAGCTTTTTTGCTCAGTGCTCTACCACTTCACAGCTCCGCTTACAATTTTCTGGTGGTTAATTGGAGATGAGAGTCTCACAGACTGTCTTACCCAGGCTGGCTTTGAATGGTGATCCTAAGATCTCAGCTTCCTGAGTAGCTAGGATTATAGACATGAGCCACTAGCATCCAGCTTCACTTGGCATTTTTGTGCAAGCTGGTGCTCTACCACTTGAGCCACAGCTCCATTTCTGACTTTTTACTAGTTAATTGGGGATAAGAGTCTCAAGGATTTTTTTTGCCCATGCTGATACTGATTTGAGATCTTGATTCTCAGATCTCAACTTCCAAGTAACTAAGATTACAAGCATGAGCCACTGAACTTCCAAGTAACTAAGATTACAAGCATGAGCCACTGGTGCCACTTTTATCATGTGTCTTAATGGCACCAAAAGGCTATGTTAAGTAACTGAGATGTACAATCTCAGTCAGTGTAAGTGTACTTTGCAATGTTCACAGAATGACAAAATACCCTATCAACCTATTTCATCATCTTAGAATATATGTCAGCATTAAGTGTCCCATGACAGAGAGGATAGAGTTAACTAGTCAGGCCATGGTGTCCCTTTATTCAAATCACATACCCCTCTGCTCAGGTTCTGAATCCACACTAACTAAACCAACAGGATCACTGGCCTTTGCTAATTCAACAATCACAGGAGACAAGCGTTAGGGCAGCTCAACCCTTCTGTAGTAGAGAGATTTCTCATCATAAGTGAGTAGGGCTTCCAGTCCTGGCTTATTCTCTGCAGATTTTGTGAATAGGAACCAGCATACTGCTTCTGACTGCCCTGACATGCAATGCCTGAACTTGGAGGGCAGTGGGTCTTCTTTCCTAGGGTACACTCCACAGCCAAGCTCTCTCTTTGCACTTCATCCCCCATCATGACGAACCATACTAGGTGTTGCATGTGAGCACTGTGAGAAGAGCTGCAAAGACAATGAGTAATTGGCCAAGAAATAAAGTGATTAATCTCAGAGATCCCTAAAGAGTTTTGTGAGAATTCCCAGAAGAGGGAGCCAAGTCCCCTGGAGACCTCCACTACATACCTCCAGAAGATAGTAGGTAGGGTACAGTCCTGGGGACTTTTCATATGGAGGGAAGAAAGACTTGCTTTGGTCCTCAACTAAAAAAGTGGTTTAATTTTTTTTAACGTGATGATGTCAAAACAAAATACATAAGAGAGAAACCATATTTTAAATTTGGCTTGTGGGGCTTGACCTCTTAAGCTTTTTTGCTTTTATTCAGCACTTTACCATTTCAGACATGCCTCCAGTCTGGGATTTCCGTGGTTAATTGGAGACAAGAATCACCCAGTCTTGGGGCTGGGAAGGTGGCTCAGTGGTAGAGCGCTTGCCTTGCATGCATGAGGCCCTGGGTTCGATTCCTCAGCACCACATAAGTAAAAAGAAAAAAGCCAGAAGTGGCGCTGTGGCTCAAGTGGTAGAGCGCTAGCCTTGAGCTGAAGAGCTGAGGGACAGTGCCCAGGCCCAGAGTTCAGGCCCCACGACCGGACCCCCCCCCAAAAAAAAAGAATCACCCAGTCTTTTCTGCCCAGGCTAGATTCATGAGTCACCTGTAGCTCAAGAACCCATCACTTGGCTCTGTCCTGTGATCTACCTTGACCCTCTTCCTCCAACGAGACACACCCAGCCCCAGCCCTGCTCACTACCCTTCTTCCTGTGTATAGCATTGGTGATCTTGTGTCCGGGGCCAGCTGGAGGAGCAGAGGCTGGACCTCAGAACTGTGGCTGTAGGATTGTGCTCCTAGAATTGAAGGACTTGCATACTCCCTCCAGCTCCACCTCTTCCTTCAGCCAAGGCATAACCCTGGTCCTCAAATCTCAGTCTTTTGAGTAGCTAGGATTATAGGCATAAGTACTGGCACCTGGCCTCTGTCCTCTTTCTTGATGCTGAGCAGCAGCTGTCAGCCCCATGATCACAAAAGGAAGGAGTTGCTCTGTAGTGCTGTAGGGGAGACAAATTAATGGCATTTTCAATGCAGGATCTTCTCCGTTTACAATGGGTTTATTGGGACACCATGCTATTATAATGCTTAGCAGCTGTCTGGGTTGATCCCACATATCCCACCGCTCAGCCCTTCCTGTCCTACTATGCTTTTATTTCTCTGAGGGTGGTTAGAGGTGCCTGGATCATCTCCAGTGTGTCCTTTGTCCTTAAATCCCTAGCTTCATTTTCCATGGTGTTCTTTTCTATTCATGCTAAGTCTGTCTTGAATCCAGTTAGCTGGAGTTGACAGAGAAGCCCAGATGGGACAGGCCAGCTCCAGGGGCTGAGTGAAAAAAAAAGTGGAAGAGGGCAAGAAGCCACCCTTCAGAGTCCTTGGGTCTTTTCCTGAACTCATTCTCCTTGTTCCTCAGAGAACTTCTAACCGAGGTGCCCTAAGGCCTCCTCACCAATCTTCTGCCACTTCTGCCTCCTCCTGAGCCAGCCTCTTTCAAGCCCACCTTGCCTTGGAGGCCCCCTGATGGGCACACAGGGCAATACTTTTGTGCCCTGTGCTTTCTTGGTCACCTGAGAGAGGGCATCCCACAGCCGTCCACACAGCATCTTTGTCTGCATGATGCTGAAAGTGTGAGGTCTTGATGGAGCCCGCCTTTCCCTGAGTTCTGGGCATCCTTCTATCACTACCTCACCCTCGCTCCCCTCCCGTGGTTTGTCTTCTAGATGTCTACTCTGGGTCCCTAGCATTGCGTCCCCCCTAAAAACCACCCTGTATGACAAGATACAATAGTCTCAACACCCAGATCCAGTCATCACATCTAATCAGTGAACACACAATGCACAGAATATATTGACCCACATTCATCACACACACACACACACACACACACACACACACACACACACACACCTTTTTTTCCCTCTAGCACTCCTGAATGGATAACAGGAAGAGGCCATAAGGGTCAGGCATCCTGGAAACTGGAGGCTATGTCCCTCCTCACCCCAGAGCCAGCCTGTGATAGCCAGGGACCTACGGTGGTTTCCACTACCAGCTGACCAAGACCTCACCACAGACATGTCCTGTGCTCACCTATCCCTTAGCCCAATGCCTTCAATATCCACAGCGTATTGCAGCCCCTAGAGATACAAACCATAGCCACCCTTGAGGGATGTGGGATGTGTTGGCACTGGCAGATTAATCCTAGAAGAGCAAGAAAACCATCTTCCAGGCTTATGTCAGTGTTCTTCTCTTTACTTGGAGCTAGGAGGTCAGAGAGCCTTCAGTGGGTGTGTTCCCACAGCCCTGGGGAAGGCAGCAAGCCTGGTTTGACTTCCCCATTGAATGTTCTCACAGCTCTGAGATTTCTTTGAATCTTAAAACCCAGCCAGATTCTGGGTTTATGTAACTCTCTGGGAATTCCCATGTGTTGATCTGGCTGTTCCTAGAATCATTATGATTCATAACTTGGTTACAACTCAGAGCTGGTGAATATGGAATTTCTGCTTTGAGTTCAGAAAACCGA